ATTGGCCCTTGATTTAATTTAAGGCTTTTTATATGCATACCTAATACATATATATATATATTATACTATAACCAACTAACCATATGGCTGCAACTATTCAATTAATTATTGTAATTAACTCATCAAACAAGAACTACCTAATTAAATCTATGTGTGTATAGCGCGGATGCCATATGAATTGCAATCCACAAAAAAAGCAAAAGCAAAAACCAAATCAATTAGATAGTCGAAAACTATTTTATATTCCCGCAACAAGCAACGTTTTTTACATATACAAATCCAAATTAATTAATTAATTAAATTATTAATTAAATAGCACCTAAGTTAAGTTTGTTAATTGTTTTTCAAAAATATGACAACCAAATATTATAAAAAAATACAAAATATTTTTGGATTTCGCTCAAAAACTAAACAGAGTAAAAGCTTTTTGGAATTTGATTTACGCGCCTCTCAAACTGTTAGCTGATTGGGTTACTCTCAAACTGTGAGCTTTTCGCTTACATTGTTTTGTATTTTCGTTTGTTTTGCTCAAATTTCTGTTTACTTACAAAAGCTTCAAATTACTTTCTGTTTTATTTATATTTTTTATTAATTAATTAAAAACACATGTTTGGCCACTGGAAGTGCGAAAGCTTTCAACGCGTGCTGGAAACCAATTGTTTGAGCATAAATTAAAACTTACTAGAATCCAATTAGATTAAAGTAGTCATATTCTCATCTGCTTATCAGACCACAATTCCACTTGAACTTGGCAGCTGTTATGCAATCGGGCGAAAATCAAATTAGATAAACAGACTTCTGTATATAAATACAACTTTAATGTATATTTTTAGCACATATATATATATATCAATATAAGAAGGAAGCCTTAAAAGTCGCCAGCACATTGAAACCCCAATTGGGATTTTAACATAATGCGCAATAAATGCAAAACTGGATGTTGTACGGAAGTCCAATAAGAGATGCCGCCCGCGTGGCAATCTGATTAGTTATTCTCGTTCTTCATGAAGTCATAGACGATGGAGAAGTCCTTGCTGCCCAATCCCTTGGACTTGAGTGTGCGGTAGATCTGATGGGCCAGAGCACCCATTGGAATGGGCGTGTTGGAGGAGGTGGCCACACCCGAAGCCAAGCCCAGATCCTTGGTGATCAAGTCCGTGGAGAAGCCACCCTTGTAGGAGTTGTTGGCCGGGGCAGTGGGAGTTACGCCGGGCACGGGATTGTACAACTCGGAGGCCCAGCAGCGGCCAGTGGACGAGTTGATAATCTCAGCGAAAGTCTTGGGATTCAGGCCCAAGCGGATGGCCAGATTCATGGCCTCGGACACGCCAATCATGGAAATGGCCAGCATCATGTTGTTGGCCAATTTGGCAGCCTGGCCCATGCCATAGTCACCGCAGTGGGTGATGCGCTTGCCCATGCACTCGAGCACAGATTTGACGGCGTTGTACTCTGCCTCAGTGCCGCCCACCATGAAGGTCAAGGTGGCCTGCTCAGCACCGGGAACACCGCCAGAGACGGGAGCATCAATGAAGCGAGCGCCCTTGGCGCTGATGCGCTTCTGCAGGGACTTGACGAGCGTGGGATCGATCGTGGAGGAGTCAATGAAGATGGTGTTCTTGTTGACGCCATTGGCGGTCATCTCCTCGTACGAGGCATCCACAATGTCATTGTTGGGCAGCATGGTGAACAAGAAGTCCACATTCTGCGCCAACTCAGCGGTCTTCGAGTAGACGGTGGCGCCCTTGGCCTTGAGGTTATCGCACGCTGGCTTCGAGATATCGAAGACATGGAGCTTGTGGCCAGCCTTGATCAGATTGCTGGCCATGTGGCCGCCCATGTTGCCCAGACCGACAAAGCCGATGTTCTTGGAGCCACCCTGGGTGGACATGCCACGGATCAGGGTCTGGCTCCAGGCATTCAGAACGGACTGTGACACAATGCGTAGCGACATGATAAAGACTGTCTGTGGAAGATTTTATAGTTATGTAAGAGTTTGCACTATATCTGCCCCCCCCCCCCCCCCCCCCCCCCCCCCTTTGCTTTGCAAGAACACACCCACCTGTATTAAGCTCGAGGCGCACAACAAGAAATAGCTGCTAAAAAAGTTCTACACGATCGGACGACTGCCAAAAGCACACTGAGCACACACTCGCACCAACCGGTCGAAGTTGGCTGGTCACGTAATGCGGCTTCTTTCCAGTGTTCAGGCTTGCCAACGTTGCGGCAAATGCGGAGCAAAACCGCCTACTCAAGTGGTTTAGGCGTGCTGGCAACTCTGCTAGATCAGCTTACTCGCTCTCACTCTGCCGTTCTGTCGCTCTCCAACTCTGACTCTCAGCATTTCCAGCTTGTTAGCTTTGACTCTCTCGCACTGGAAGTTTATTTTTATTTATTATTCTATTAGCGAGGCACACACGCGCTGACGACTTATCTAGCGTCTACGCAGACATCGTCTGATGCTTGTGGGCATGGCATAAAGTGGGCGTGTGTGTGCTTGCGTGTTTATACTCTGCATATGTGTAGATGCGAAAGCTGCGCAGTCAGCGCTGCTCAAACTGTGCGCAGCTTTTATGTCGCTTGGCAGCAGCTGATAGTATTTTTTTTTTCTCCTCCTCCAATTCCTCCAATTATAATGYTTTTATTTATTTATATATTGCTGTTGTGATTTTGGCTTATCTTGCTGCCCATTCCAACTAGTTCATTTTATCAATTGAACTTGAACCAATTCGTTTTGTTTATCTTTTCTGCGTTGCTCTCGCTATTATTCCATTCCATTCTGTTGTTTTTTCTCTGCTTTCGTCCAATTGCGGCAAATATCGTGCATAACTGTAAACGCACGCGAAATTTCCAAATCTATTTGTACGCCCCACTCACTTTCGTTGCCAATATGCGCCCTTCATGATTTGCCCAATTGTTGTTTGTTTGCAAAACTTAAGCAAAAATATAGTTATAAATAGAAATGCCCAATTTCGCATATCATATTTCATATCTTCGTTGATAACTTTCCCACCAAATACCGGGATCACTTAACTGTTGTCGATGATGTTGTTGGTGTTGTTGTTGTTGTTTTGTCAGTCGTTTTGGCATGCATGAAATTGCAACTGGGTCTTCGTTTCGCAAATTTCGACCATTTACTGTGCTGCTTATGCAACGATAACGTCGCAGTCGCAGTCGCAGCCGACGTCGCCGCTGGCGTCGCTATGCTTTCGTTATAGTGCAGAGAACCTGCTTGCAGTGAGGAGTCTGCCACTGAGCCGATCTGGCAATTACTTTGTCATCATTTTACTGATATCTGTGTCAGAGCGTCTGCAGCATCATGTGTAAGCGTAAGTGTGGGCAGTTTATCGCGGCCTCAGTGCGTTTCGATTGAGGTGTGCTACGGGCTAGAGCAGACAGCAAATCACATAACGAGGACATCTGCTCAACGTTTCAATAATAATAGAAAACACTTTACATAAGAGCTGAGCACTTGTCAAACAGTTGACAACAACAACAACAGCCACAACACCTTCTTATCTATCACATAAAGTGCAATTCAGCGTATGATTAACATTAACAACAACAACAACAGCAACATTAGCAACAACAACATTAAACAACGCCAAACAACAACATTCACATTAACATCGACATCAACGGCGACAACAACAGCAAATGACCGAGTGAGAGCGCGTTTTTAAACAATTTACACCAAACAAACAGCAACAATTAAAAAATGTTTGCAACAGACAAGCAACGACGAGCAAATACTCTGTAAATTTGCAGAACAACGAAAAGCAGTTTAACAATTTTCAAAATTTCTTACTAGGAAATTACAGAACAAATTTTAAATTAAAATTTAACATAAACTAAAAGCAAAATATTTCGCTTTCGGTTATAATAAATGTGTGAATATGGAAATTATTGTATAAAATACTGCAAAATACTTGAATATTATAAATTCAATGTAGTTATATTAGTAGAGCAATAAACAGTATCAGAGCAGAAAGAGGACTTTCAGCATATCAAGATCTTTGCACATTTTTAATAAATAATATATATAATAATAAAATATGTAATCAAAATTGTCTTCAGTACCGGTTTTATATACACTAAAAGAAAATATACAATATGTCACTTAAAACAAAGAGCTCTTCCGCACTTCTTTCTATCTAATCAACTATCAGTTCCGCATGCCCCACACAATTACAGGGTATACATGTACATTTAACAAAAGCACCTCATTATAGCATACTGAAACCCATGAGCATGAAGTGCGTTGCCGTATGACCACAGCAAGAGGCAGCGCCTGTGCTCCACATTATAGATCGCATCGGATCGCGACGCATCGCGTATACGCCACGTAGTGCGCTGCTCATTAGGCGAGTCCGAGCGAGTGGCTAGCCGTACTTGTTGTTCGTAATGATATTTTATTGTAACTGTTGTTGTTGCTAATTTCCATGCAACAATAATGCCAAAACAGATGCTTATGGAGCAGCAAACAAATTTCACTCGCATAGCCAAAGGCAGCGCAACGCGCAATGCACTTGAGATTGACAGCGACAAGGAGCTGCCCAGATTGAAGTACAAATTGAATTCATAAATGAGCTCAGCCATGATTAGAGCACTGTCGCTGTGCATGCCAAGCCCACATTAAACACGAACACTGCAGAGATGAGCAAATAGCAGTTTCTTGACCCGATCACGAATTTTTATCGCATCGATGTTAATGAATTTGCGTGACTTTTCACAACGCCTGCGCATGCCGCAATGCTGATCTATACAAATGCCGCATAACGAGCTGGAGCTGGAGCTAGAGCTATTGGCACAGATCGCAATGGAATGGAATGGACGGACAGACTAACGAACAGTGATTGTCATTTTGGGTAGCTGTATTTTCATTATTTTTGTTATTGTTTTTTTGCGGATTTCGATTTCCGGCTGGCACGTAATTCGAAATTACATTTAAACTCTTTTTATTTTGCTAAGCTTTTTTTTTTTTTTGGCAGTGAAATTTGTTTTAATGCTTCCCATCGGGTTTTAATTAGTCAAGACATTATTAGCTTTCGCTAAGTAAGTGGAGGGCCTGTTGAACAGTTCCCAGCTGGCTGGCAGTTCCATATCCACTTGATTCACACCTGTCCGCACAGCAATTAACATGAAGAGCACTCCAAAAAAAAAATATATATATGTATATATATGTAGGTATATGGAAAAACTCAAAACGAAAAGAAAAATGAAACGAAAAACAAAAATGAATAATAGAAATAAATTGAAATGCAGTGCAGTCGCTGCACCAACTAGGGAAAGGAAAGTGAAAACAGTGATATACAAACATATATTATATATATACATATACATATATACACATGTTGTTGTTGTTGTTGTTGCTGGGCCGAGTTCGATTTGTTTTCAATTTCATTTGGGTAGTTCGAATGTTTCTAAGACGCCGCATGCATAATTATTTGTTTAACAAATTGCCGTTGCAAGGCCTCTGCTGTATGAAGTATATAGACATATCTGCCTCTCTCTCTCTCTCTCTCTCTCATTTTCTCTCTCTTTGTCGCTCTCATTTAGTGAAATTGTAAAATCGTTTTGAAAGCGCTTCAATTATTTTCTGCCAACAACATTCCATGCCACAGCGAATTTTGTGTTTTTTTTTGCTTGAAGCAAATGTTTTGCCACAATTTTATTTGCTGCTGCTGCTCGACATATTACAAAATTTTAATTGCAGCCCGACTAGAGAAACAGCTAACAAACAAAAATGACCAGAAATGGGCGATTATGGTAAATGGAATACCCTCCTAGAGATACATATCGACCATTATACGATTATCAAATCTTGGCAAAGAATCGCTAAAGACTTTGACATCAATATCTCATTAAGAATCGGCAAAAGACTTAGACTGTTGGATACCCTGGATATTGTACTTAGCAAGCAATTTATGCAGATTAATTTGGAGTGATTGATTTGATTGTCCAATTTGCATTTGGGTTAAACTTAAGATTAAAATTAAATAATTAAAATTTTAATGAATTTTAATTAAATAAATAATACAAGTAATAAATAAAAATGATTAAATGCACACAACAATTTCTGAACTAGTGAACATTATTAATGTCTGAGCTCAAAAGCAAAAGCTAATTTCTGTAGAAAATATATATCAAAATGTCCATGTCCATCATTAGATCACTATAAATGTATCAAATATTGAAAATCAATTTTTAAATATTTTTATTTAGTTGCGTTCCATCAATTTA